CTCTCTCTCTCTCTCTCTCTCTCTCTCTCTCTCTCTCTCTCTCTCTCTCTCTCTCTCTCTCTCTCTCCCCCCCTCGAGTTAATTAGAGGAAATTAAACTAATCATTCCTTGTACACCACCATGGCCTTCAACATCCTCTCCATAGGTGGATTTTAATATTTATTCCCCGATTTAGGGGTGGGAGTCAGGTCAACCCGAGCCCAGACCCGACACAATAGGGTTCCACATGGACTTAGACCTGAGTCGGGTACCTGTCACTTGGATACGGATTCAACCTGATATGGGTCACGTCCGTCATTTGGACCCCGATGCGACATTGACTTAGGTCTAGTAATTAAAAAATAAAAAATAATCTTTTATATTATATAGTATATTTAATATACTTTATATCCGATCGAATCTAGTCAGGTCGACCCTGATCTTACCTGACTGGGATTGGGTCCAAGTCAATTGGATGCAGACCTGGCCCACCAGGTCCATGAACCCAAGCCCAACTACCAAGGGAGTCGATCCAACCCGATTGCAACCCCTACCCCATTCTCCTGGCCTGGATGCGTCTAATCCCTACCGACCACTATCATTGCAATGTAATGACATGGGTCACACGTTGCAAGCTGTAGTAGCAATTTGGACTTTGCCTTTTGATTCACAACAATTATTATATTCATTTATTAGTAATAAACACTAAAAAAAATAAAATAAACAAGGGGCTATTTTTTACTCGTTAAAGTATTAAAGAAAAAAGGAGGCTATTTTTAAGCTTTGGAGTTTGGACGTGCCGGAGAAGCCAAGCAGCCTCACTTTGGCGGCGGGGACCACGAGACAAGAGAGTGAGAGGGGAGGGGCTTTTTTTTTTTTTTCCCTGAAATTTATCAAAAATTTTAGAGATGAATTATTCAATAAATCATTTGGTTTTTATTTAATTTATTAATTTATAAATTTTATTTATTTTGAATAAGGTCAAGGGACGAATAATTATGAATTAGAATTAATTAATATTTTACATAATGGTTATAACGTTAAAAGTTGATATAAATTTCTTCTTCTCAAGAATAGAAGTCGTACAGCTATTTTCCCTCTCTAGACTGGAGAGCCTCTTTGCTTTTATAGACTTTAAATTTTGGGATTGTATGTTATGAGATTATCTATCTTTATTTCAAGAAGATCTTAATTACTCTTAGTTATTATATATCAAATTAGATTGCTTAAAATGAGCCATAAAATTCAAATTCTTTTTGAAGTCTAATTAATGATACTCTTGCAACCACCTGATTTAAAATCTAAAGAATAATGATATTTGGGAGCTCTTTGTACCAAAAGTAAATTGTCTCTTTAGATACCTTTCTTTATTCGATACTTACTTTAATAATGGGATTGTCAAATTTAACAGTAAAAAAAGAGAAGAACTTGTCAAATTACTCTTGATAATATAAACAACTTAAAACTTTATCTATCTTTAAATTTCATTTCAAAATAGACCTATACGTTACATATTTCCAATTGAGTAAAATGTTAAATGGTTATCTCTTATGGCTGGTTTGATAAAACTACAAATAATAATAATAATAAGAGTTTCACGTTCATCGAGCCCTTTTTTGCGTGCATACATAACCCAGACCAACCTACCCATCACACGACCTAGAGCCACTTGGTCAGGGATTCCTGTTTACATGCCCAATTTAGACGCCAAGTAAATAAATAAATATATGATATAGGTGAGAATCTAGATTAAGAGAAATATTAAAAAATAATTGAAAATAGAAAATAAAAAGAAAAAAACAAAAAGAAAAAGAAAAGAAAAGGTCGATAGTAGATAGTAGATAGAACAAGGGATTTTAAGGCATTTCTTTTATGGATGTAGTTTTGTATAGGGTTGTAACCCTAAATAATCAAAGAAAGACGCACCTCGATACTTTATCATAAAATACAACTTTAGTATTGAAAAATCTTGAAAATGGATAGTCTAGATAATTTGTTTGTAAAATGTATTATTTTTAAGATTTAAATTTATTTATTTTTAATCTAGACGTCGAGATAATCATTTAAATGGTTCAAAAAATCCTTTTTCGATGAATTTTCGAGGTTGGCCTTAATTCTATTATTAAACCTTACATAAACTTTTTCCTTCTTTAATTATCAAAGATTTATAATTTGTTTATCGCTAGGATTTAATAATATGAATCTTGTAATTTAGAAAAACGTCAAGGATATGCTTGTAGATTTGTTGATGTTTCTCCACCCCATTTATTTTCCTTTGGGGACTTAAATCACACAATTCTTGTTTCTGTGATTAATGGGGTTTGCACTTTTCCTTGTACAATCCAAACTCTTGTGGTTCTCTCTCTTCTCTCTCTCCATCTCTCTCTTGGCCTTGCAGGCTTCTCTCTCTAACCAGTGCACCTCCAATGAACCCCAGCCGTCCGATCAAAGCCAATTGCCCCTATTCTCTTATCCCTCAACATATGGGGCGCACAAGTACGCAATCCCAACCGTTCGTTCCACCTGCAACTCCTCCTTAATCTTCCAAGGTTAAATCACCCCACAATTGATCCTCAAAGTTCAACCTTAATTGAGGTACCCATTATAAATTTAATCTCTAATATTCATTCCGTTTGCAGATTATGGGTCGGTTTTGAAGGAGATCCAAGATATAGTTCGAAATCGTCGTTCCTGTTCGAGTTTGCGATATGTTTCAGGGCCTGGTGTTAGCTTTGCAGGGAATTTAAGCAGTGCAGAGAGAAACTATTATTTTGATCACAATAATGATCAGGTGGAGGTTCCTTGTGGGTTTATGAAGGACTTTCCAATCCAAAATTCAGGTTGGTTTTCTGGTTATTTCGGTCTATCATTCGAATTTTCTATTTTCTATTTAGGACAATTGTTGCATTTTGTATAGATTATATTGATGCAAAATTGCTGGGTACTTAGAGTTCTCTACCTTTATTTTCTTTTGTTCATATGAATTTAAAGATTATGGGGTCCAAAACAATTGAGTTTATCTGAATATATGACCAATTTTTCATATTCACAATTGAATTTATCTGAATATATGACCAATTTTTCATAATCAATTGATTCGATATACATTTTCTCAGACTTTATGCCTCTTCATCTTCATCTTCATCTTAATTGGAAAAAAATTAAAATAATTCGTGACGATTTCGAATAATTTCACGAATTTTTGTGATTTCTTGATTGACACCATTGAGGCTTGATTGCCTGACATGCATTGCTTATTTTGTTTTTTGTCTTCTTCTTTATCTCTGGTAATTCAACAAAAACCTAGTCATGAAATCATCTCCTGCCACCTGAAATTCCAAATTCATTCAATCTAATAAATTGATGTTTGAATCTTTGAGTTTCCCAGAACGTACTCAATTCAGCACAAGGTTCTTGAATTTCTTGTGGAACAATTGAAATCAAGACAATTCTATGGATTTTCTTAAAATTTGGAATCTTTCTCAAGGGAGAAAAAGAAATAAATAAATGGAATTTAATAATATCTGGGTTTTGAAATTTACATTGAATATTTTGGGAACATTTTGATACTTTCCTTTCATAGCAAGAATCCTCTGTCTAGGTTAAATAATCCTCAGAAATTTTCTCTAATTTCAGATAAATTGGCAATGGAGAATTGCAAAGGAGTGGTAATCGTGTCGGCGATATTCGGAAACCACGACAAAATCCGGCAACCCAGAGGCCTTAAATCTGAGACCTCGGAAATTGCTTGTTTCTTCATGTTTATCGATGATAGGACCTTAAAAGGCCTCAATTCACATAATATGTTCATGAACAAAACAGGGGAGAATAAGATAGGTGCATGGAAGATGGTATTAGTTTCAGGTGAACTGCCATATAATAACCCTGCAATGAATGGTGTAATACCTAAGCATTTGACTCATAGGCTCTTCCCAAATGCATTGTATAGCATATGGGTGGATGCAAAGTTGCAATTAACAGTGGACCCTTTACTGTTATTGCATTCATTGGTGGTGAGGGAGAATAGGGACATGGCAATTTCAATGCATCCTTACAATGTGCACACAATGGAGGAGGCAGTGGCAACTGCTAGATGGAAGAAGTGGGGGGACATTGGGTCCTTGAGGGAACAGATGGAGACTTACTGTGATAATGGGCTTAGGCCCTGGACAACCAAGAAACTCCCCTACACCACAGGTCTCCCGCTCTCATGCACATGCACATGCACACGTACACGCACACAGCCACACATTTCTTTCTCTCTCACACACATATAGCGGTCTCTCTCTTAAGACTCATGCACACATGAGCCACACATTTCTCTCTCACACACACATGTCGTAGTCTCTCTTTAGACACATGTGCATACATACACGCACACAGACACATTTCTCTCTCTGACACATATCGCAGTCTCTCTCTTTAGACACATACCGCGACATGGCACATGTACTTACAACACTCTCTCGCAACAAAGCCAATGTTCAATAACTCAGACCGAGTCCCTTTAGACTTCTCCGAGTTACTTGGCCTCCCAAGTACTGTCGGGTTAATTAAAAGATAAAACATTATCAAAAGTACATTAAATGATGGGATCAAATATGTAATTTGGTTGTTTGTGACAATGATTTGTGATATTTTTTCTGGTACAGGTCATTTTTATGTTTTCCTCTTTTCTTTTGATTTTTCATAATTATGGGGGGCAAATTATACTACAAATGCTTTAGAGTGACTCAAAACAGGAAAGTCCTCTCTTCCATCTTTACATTTTCTTTATGTCTTCCATAATCGTATCTCAGCCCCCGTTTCGCCCATATTTTAAACGTCTTATATATTTTTCAACTTATTTGGACTTTGTTGTGTCTGATTAATTTTATTTTTATTAATTTTTATTTTCTATTTTTTTTTGCAATTTTTGTGCCTTCATTTTAAGATTTAGGGCTTTTAGGCTTTGTAGCGAGTCCAATAAGACTCACTTGAGCAACTCAGCCAGAGCCAGAGCTGAGTTGAGGCCCGAGTCGAGCTCCAGAATATCAGTATTTGTAATTTTACCCTTTCCATTTTTTCTTTTTTATTTGAAATTCTGTCACTCTTACATCGTTTCATTTTGTAATAAACCCATCAAATTTTTGCCTTTCTTCAAAACTTTATTTCTCTCGTCTCAAACGGTTTATTAAAGCCACATAAATAAGTTCATGGTTATCAATTGATGCAAAGCCCATCCCTTCGTAGTGTAGTTTGATTAGGACGGTATTCTTTTTAAATTGTAAGGCAGGGAGGTGCTTTTCAATCATGTCGATAGGGAGAGAAACTCGAGGCAGATCTTCTAGCAAAATCAACGATAGTCTCATGACCTTTATTTTTTTATCTTTTCTCTTTTGTTCTTTGTTTTTCTCTTTATTTATTTTTCCAATTTCCTTGTGTTTTTCATTTTCTCAATGAAAACTCGTTAACATTAAGAAAAAACAAAAAGAAGTCATGGTTGTATTTCTTGAACTAACAACAAATTGTCTTCCAATATGTCCACATAAAATGCCCATAAGGATGCAACCAATATAAAGGCACATTTTGATGACTCTTTTTTTTTTAATTAACTCTTCCTGTGCATGTTTATTGCACTCCCATTTTGAATGCCACTTGTGCCATACTAAGTTTGAGAAAAAAAAACTACTTGGCTTGTATTTGAGAATTTTAAAAAGTACATGAAAAGACTATTTACTTTAAATATAAGGAGGACACAATATCTCGTCTATCACTTTCAATTCGGCATTGTTGTGAGTGTTGACTAGACTCAAACTTTAAAAAGAAAAAAAAACTCTCAAACTATGTCATATTCTAAGCCATCCAATTTGAAAGGCCATTAGCGAGATTGTGACTTTTTTGTAAAAAAAATAAATGATTTTGTAGTAAACACCTCAAATAATTTTAATATAACAAATACACCTGAAATATCATTCAAACTGGCCTTAAATATAACAAATTGCCCATGAAAAATACCAAAAAAATATCCAAAAAATATTGAAGTGTTTTCATTCCACATTGCCTGTTTACCAAAATAATGAGACAAATTGGTTATGTTAATAAATACTGATTTTTTTTTCTTATATATTTTGTGCAATCCAGATGTTCCAGACTCTGCCTTAATTTTGAGAAAACACAGTGTGGGGAGCAGCCTATTTTCATGCCTACTATTCAATGAATTGGAGGCATTCAATCCAAGGGATCAGCTGGGCTTTGCATATGTGAGAGATTTGATGAAGCCAACCATTGACATAAATATGTTCCAAAATGAAATATTTGAGCAGGTAGCCATGGAGTACAGGCACAACATAAAAAAGGGCAGTGCTCAGGTTCTTGGAGGACAAAAGACAAAAATGGCAGATGCCTGGGGTGGTGACATGGGCAGGTGTCAGGGTTACCTTTTGGAAATGTGGGGAAGTATAACTAATCATTGGTCATAAGTTATGACTCATAACAAATAAGGAAAAAGAATACTAAGATATTACTGACTAAAAGTATAAAGAAAGGAATATTATAAACTAAAAAATGGGTAAGATCCAAGAAAAGTTGGCAAGGGTTGGGCATTCTTCACTTGGAACATGTTTGTTTATTATTTATTTTATTTTATTGGTTTCATTTGGCATGACCTGGAAAGGTTTCCAGAATGTTCTACTTATTTATCCGTCTTTTTTGCGAAGGCAAACATGAGAATTTCCCAGTATGATGAGCATTATACCTTTTTTTAACGCTATATTGGATTCAAGAATTAAATGCCCTCTTTTGCTTTTTCTTTTGTTTGGTAAATATATGTCTTGCTTATTTCTAACTTTGAGAAAATGTTGCTTTACCACCCAGGGGAACTAAAATAAAGGTGAAAGTTTGATAAATGCAAACTGAACCATAAACATGATAACTTTTTGAAGATATTTATATATATATTTTCAAGAAAATTAATAGATAACTCTGGACTCAATTTCTAAAAATTAGATAGTTCCAGTGCGATCTTGAAATGTCCCTTTTTTTTATTTTTTATTTAGGCACATGGAGAGTGAGAGTTCAAATTACTATGAGTTACCATAACATGGTATCGAATATTATAGTATGATATCCCATTGAAGTTGAACAAAAGACATTGTTTTTGTTTTCTAGTTGGCATTATAGAAAACTTCGCATACATGTTCATTCACTAAAAGCTCTTGCTACTTGGACAAAATATACTAATATGGATTGTTAGTTCTACTAACCCACTAGTCCCCAAAAAAATTGGCAGAACCTCCCCTTAATTGGGGTTAGATAGGTGTGTCCAAAAGGGTTCTAGTTCCAATTAAATTCTCATAGAAATTAATTCAAGTTTTAGAGCTCATATTTAGCAACAAAAAACACTCTTAGTATCAGTTAAATTCCCGTAGGAATTAAGATAAGTTTCGGAGGTTCTTCCTTTCCATTGTTCATATGGTGTAACATTAGATTTTTAATATGGTACTGGTTTAAGATATAACATGCTGACATTAAAGCCTCTCCCCAAAGTTTAGTAGGGAGATTAGATCTGATAAGCATGTCATTCACCATATCCATAAGTGTGCAATTTTTCCTCTCAACTAAACCATTCTATTGTGGTGTGTTGGGACACTAACTTGATGAATTATTTCATTTTATTCACAATAGTTAGTAAAGTTGGTGAAACAATATTCACCACCTCTGTCACTTTTGAAAACCTTGATTTTTATTGCAAGAAAACTATTTCCTACAGTAGAAAGAAGTTCTAGGTTATTATAATTAATACATAGTGATGTTTGTGATCTGAGAGATATACAGACTCATGGTGGGAAGCAATACTTTGCCACTTTCATAGATGATTTCTCAAGATACACCTATGTTTATTTGATTAGAAACAAAGATGAAGCATTTGAGAAATTTAAGATTTATAAAACAGAAGTTAAGAATCTTTAATTGTACACATGCATCACACGAAGTATTTTGTAAATTTATACGCTTAGGAATTAGGTCTAAAGTACTCATTTTTCTTAAAGCATGATAATTAACATGACCTAATCTATCATGCCATAAAGAAAAGGAATCAAGCGTATACATTGAAGAAGATGTACCTGTTTCATTATGAACACTGAGCTTGAACATGCCATCAGTAGTGTAACTCATTCCTACAAAGACATCATTATTTGATAATACAAACTTGTCAGACTCAAAGACAAGTTTGAAACCCCTCTTATTCAATAGGTATGCTGACAACAAGTTTCTCTAGACTTCGAGGCATGATACACATTCATAAGTGTAAGGACCTTACCGGACGTGAATTTCAATTCAACCATCCATTTTCCAAGTACTTTAGATGAAGACAAATTGCATATATAAAGGACAATATCCTCCCCCACTATTTCATAGGTCATAGACATGTTTCTATTATAACAAACATTTCTGATAGCTTCAGATCCTACCCACCATTCTTTAGTGCCGCATATTGCATAATCTTTGGAGATCATAGTGGCAAATCTTTCTTCGGCCACATTGGCTTTTACCAGCAGTTCCTTTTGAAATTTGTAGAATTTTTGCATATTGTTTTAGGGTCTTTTTCGACACTTGTATCCCCGATGCGAATAAGGAGGAAGCCAATCGCGATCTAGGCTCGCGAGTACCAAAATGCCTACGAACCATAGAAGCACTATTGAAATAAACCTTGATCTGGAGCAAATTTTTGAAATGAAATAGATGGGTCCCAAAAAAATATGTGGAGGTAGCACTTGAATCCCTAAGAACACCCGGCCAAGTTTTGTCATGATCCGACGATGTTAAGGTGGATCAGAGGCAAAACCAGTTTTCGTATTCAACCTTTAACATGTTGAAATTATATTCATATCACCGGAGGTTCAGATGAACACCAGACTACTTCCATTGGATTCAGGAGATCTGGAAAACCCTAGATATGAAAGTTCAGATCATTCGGACACTTCTGGACCATTATAAGGCCAACTTACCTAAAAAAGGTAGGTTACACACTGTTTTGGTGTACTCTCGGTGAACCAGTTTCCATTTATGGAAACTATGTACAAGGATTTTGGGATCACCATTCAAAGATCATAACTTCTTCATCTTAAGTTGGATCAAGCTCAAATTTCAAGAGGATCTTCGACTTGTCGGCACACATGTTTTGATATATGGCACGGCCCGTGGCACGACCCGAGACGGAAGAAATCTTAGAGAGAAATAACTCAAGAAATCTCATGTGTTGCAGATATTTACAAAGAGGAGATCCTTTCAATCAAACGGTCATATCACGAATCCCCGGCCTTGGATCGACTTGAAAACAGGTCCGTTGTGATTGTGACATGGAGGGCTTTGATTTAAAGTAAACATCTTATGTGATAAATAACTAAAAGATTGTATTTTGAGGTTGCAAGAAGGGATATTTTCCAGCAACCGGAATCCATATTTCGGTAACTTCCCCAATTCGAAAAGTGGTAGTTCAGTCATCAAATTGAGCCATTTTTGTCACCAAATGTTCGTGACGACCTCCCCATCGTTCCACGATTGAAAGATCAAACTAAAACACCAAAGAATGGACAAGATCTGATATTTAAGATCTCAAATTCTCCATCTTTTGACGTATTTTGCTTAGAGCTCAACATTTCGATTCGAGGATCAAAAGATATGTCAAAACATTCAGCTCGTCGAGACCATCACTTTCGTGGTATTCTTTTCGCAGGAAGGTTGCCGGAAAGACCCGAAACGAGCCTCGGATGACCTCCATAGCCTATGGCCCCTTTTTGGGGACCATCTTGCCATTTTCAAGATTGTGGGTAGGGACAAAATGATCATTTTATCCCAAAAAATGGAATTCAAATTTAAATCATAGAAAACGTATGTTTCAACAATTTAGGTTAATTTTGAACATTCATCCTTGTTTCAAGGCGGGTAATATAATCATTTGTAACCCTAAGTTCAAAAAAGAGGAATAAATGATTAATGAGACTTGGCCCATAAGCTCAAAAATTAGTTGAGTTTGCTTTGGTTTGCAATATTTTTCTTTACCCCTTTTACCCCAAAAGAGGAGAGAGAAAACTTTCCCCATAAACCACTACCCCTAGAACTTCTCACTCGCCACTTGGAATCCCTTACTTCCCACTTGGAACTCTTCACTCTCAACCTAGCCACCAGTCCGGTCCAAGAATCTCACTAGGTAACCCCTGATTCTTTCTCTCTCCTCCCTTCTTCTCTTTCTCTCTTTCTTATCTCTCTCCTCTCTCTCTCTCTCATGGTTAACCGAGCCTATGGCTAAGTTGCTGACCCGCCTTCTCTTCTCTCTCTCTCCTCCTTTATTTTCTCTTCTCTTTCTTCTCTCTCTTCTCTCTCTCTCACGGCTAAGCTGTCAGCCTGCCTTCTCTCTTTCTTTTCTCACTCTTTCTCTCACTCTTCTCTCCCCTCCCCTTTCTATCTTTTTCTCTCCTCCCCCTCTCTCTTCTCTCTCCTTTCTCTCTTCTCTCCCTCTTTCTCTCTCCTTCTTTCTCTTTCTATTTCTTTCTCTTTCTTGCCTTCTCTTCTTTTTCTCTCTCTCCCACAGCTGATCGGGTTCGCAGCTCAGCCACCGGCCCACCTTCTCTTCTCTCTCCCTTTTCCCTTTCTCTCCCTCTCCCCTTCCCCTCTCTCTCTTCTCTTTCTTTTCTCCCATCTTTCTCTCTCTTTCTTCTTATTTCTCTTTCTCTTTCTTTCTTCTTCTCCCTTCTCTCTCTCCCTCTCTCATGACTCACCAGGCCGGCGGCAAAGCCACCAACGCACCTTCTCTTCTCTACTTTTTTTTCTCTCTCCTCTTTCTATTCTCTCCCCTCTTCCTCTCTCTTTCTTCCTCTTTAACTTTCTCTCTCTTTCTTCTCTCTCTCTCTCACAGTTAACCAGGCCTGTGGCTAAGCCGTTGGCTTGCCTTCGCTTCTCTCTTTTTCATTTCTCTCTTTCTCTCCTTCCCTCTCTCTTCTCTTTTCTCCCATCTTTCTCTCTATTTCTGCCTCTTTTTCTTTTTCTCTCTTTCTTCTTTCTCCCTTATCTCTCTCCTTCTCTCACGACTACTCTTTTCTCTCTCTCCCTCTCTTTCTCTCCCCTTCCCTCTCTCTCATCCTCTCTCTTCTCTCTCTCTCTCTCTCTCTCTCTCTCTCTCTCTCTCTCTCTCTCTCTCTCTCTCTCTCTCTCTCTCTCTCTCTCTCTCTCTCTCTCTCTCTCTCTCTCTCTCT